CTCCTAGGATGGCCTCCTCATCCACGACACTCCTGTGTGATCGTGGGGTCGACGTCATAGAGCTTGTAGTTGATGGTCTCAAGCGCGTAGGAAGTCCTACGGCTGATAACCTGTGATTCGGGCACGAGCCTGTGCCCAGGCAATGGGTAAGTTGGGGTAAACAAGCCACAAAAGAAAGGTTCCCCGAAAGCAAGCCAATCCCCGGTCCCAAAGATCAGGGTTTCCCACACACCAGAGAACAACAACCAAAAAGGAAAAGAGTTAACCCGCAACCTTGACCGACAACAGGCCGCACGAATGGTCCCTACCAACCTGACGGCGGCCCGAGGTCTCTTTCTTCCCCGAGATGTCGTCGGTCGACGCAGGGGTTCGGCGACGCCCATCCGAGGCGCGACGGAACCCGTGAAAACTTGAGCCAAACATCACAGGTCAGTCACTACCGCGACATCCCTGATGATGAAATGAACCATGGCTAATCACACGTTGAATTTCCTTGGAATAACATGCTTCAAACCAGAGTACAACAATGATTATGGAGGTGTTCAGAGGACAATGAGAACAAGCTGTCACTGCTCCACGATGCGCCGATTGGCACCCACAATGCATGTTTCAGCACAGCTCCGAAGGCATTTCGAAACGGTCCCCTTCTCATCCTCTTTGACAAAAGCCTTGTAAAAGCCATAGAGTTTCCAAGACCAGCATGCGAAGAATGTTCATCTGCATTCGTCTTTTGAGATCCAAACACGCGCAGCAAACAACACCCATTCTGTTGGTTGGGTTTGGTTTGTGAAATTCAATGCACTTCTCCATCCACGAAAACACGCCTTCACAAATCGCCTCGGTGCCCTGCGAAGCCGCGGGCTTAGCCCGCCTCGGGCTTCTTATTATCTTTCTGCGCCATGGACTTGTCCCACACATAGGCGTCAAAATGCACAGAAAGCAGCTCTCAATCTTGTTGCACTTACCTCTCTCAGCGAAATTCCTGAAGTCTTGCTGGCTTAATTCACCTGAGGCGCTTAGACCCGTGGCTGTGGCAGCTTCAAAAAAACATGCTGACTCAACAAACAACCTCTGACTGAAAGCTTGGCCTGGTTTTCCCGTGGTTCAACTCGCTTGAGTTCAAAATCCTTGGAACCTGCTGCCGCGCTGGGCAGGGCAGGGCAGGGGCGCGAAAGAAAGTTCGGCAAACATGCTGCAAGCACACTGGCCTTTTCCACTTTGTGCACTGCCCGCTGGCCATCCCGTTTGGGCTGTTGGCTCATCTGGAGAAGTCGAAGCCTCCCAAAAAAATATTAAAAAAAGAAGAGAAAAAGAAGAAAACACAACACGGTGGGCCACAACCGGCGACCAGTATTGGTTGAAAGCATAATCCAATGGTTTAACACCAACTGGTCGCGCCAGTTGCTGTTTTTTTGGCTCCAGCAACTGTGGCTGTTCTCAGGGTAAAAGGTCTGGACAAAAAGCAGCGACTTGGTGATCTGGGTAGAGGTCAACCATGCTTGCCCTACTGTAGGCGGAACTGGGGGACTGGGTGAGGGCGAGTCTCGGAGGAACCAAACCATCCGGTGCATTAGAGTGACACTCCCAACATCTCGGAAATGGTTCCTTCAAAATGGGTCGCCAAACTCCCACATGCCACAAAGACACACTCCTTTTATTGGGTGGGTTGACTTTAACGGGAAACCGACTTAAAAACAAAGGAAACCGGACACCATAATTCTTGTTGAACTTGCGGGGGTGCAGGGCATCTCCGGGCCCCCTCCTGTTTTCACTGGCCCTCACCCCGCCTTGACTGCTGCGGCGACGTCTCACCTGTGCCTTTCCTAACAGCATCTTGGCCGGCGACGCTTGGGTGGTAGCTGCCTGCTGCCTGGCAGCGCCTTCAGTCGGTCGCCGCTGGCCTCCAACTGGCGACTATGACGACTTGAGCTTGTTGCTACTTCCCACGTTCTGTTTCTTTCCACCTGGGGCGCCCAATGCCAGCGACTGCTTTGCCTTCCAGGCTTCACCTGCTTCACCGAGGGAACAGCTGCAATGACAATGGCGTGGCTTGCAAGTATGCTTCACATGCTTGACCGACAGGACAGCTGCAACGACAATTGGTTAACCCGGCCTTAAAGGTCTTCACATGCTTGACCGATGGCACAGCTGCAATGACAGCTGCGCAACCCGGCCTCTACGGTCTGTCTTGCAAGCACAGCTTGACATGCTTGAGCGAGAGGCGTGGCTCCACTCGCTCCAAGTTTGGGGATGGCCGAAGCACCAGTTGCCCCGAGTTATGCGAACGTGGCACCTGCCGAGACATGCCTCGCTGCGCCTTCCGTCGCGGAAGCTTCCGCCGCGAGCGTTGAGCACAGGTGCAAGGTCCCAGCAAGCCACATCAAAAAGAGTGTTGGGGCCCTGATTCCAAAAAGGAAATACTGCCCCGAGTTGCTGCAAATAGCTTGCAAGAGGTGTCTGGCAAAGTGCTAGGGGAAATCATAGGTTAGAGCTGTACAGGTTTCACCTCGCTCGGCTCGAATCGGATGGATGTGTGGGCTGAAGGCAAATGCCTAATCAGCCCATTTTGCAGGAATGCTGGGACTGCCTGTTGCGACTTTTTCTGTGTCAAACGCGTTCCATCTGACGGCTGTGACAAGAGGCGCATCTGCTGAAAGAAGGCGCGTCCTTTGCGGCTTCCCAAACTGCAGGTCTCCCTCCTTGCGCGCCAAGCAAGCCGCTTGCGCAAAGCAGCTGCGCATGTAACCTCTCCGACTGGCTATGAGAAAGTCGGGAAATATCATTAGCGACCTCGGACACATTTGTTGCTTTTGCGTGCAGACCGGGAAGTTGAAAAGGTGGCGCGCGGACTGTCACCGAGTGAATAGAGACGACGCATGCCGTTAGTCCTGCACAGGCAGAGGGCGTTCTCCTGCCGAACATGACCAATGTGGCCATGAGCCGAGCCAAAATTTAATATGGGGCAAGCTGGAAGAGCATGGAAGATGGAACAGGACTCACAGCTGCGGAGTCCGACACGGAGCTACAGCTCAGGCCTACTCTAAGGAAACACTGCCTCAATCCAGAGAATACAAACGCAACGAGCAGACCAGCAAATGCTGCTCACTGTCGAGCCACATTAGGGAGTGACAAACAAGTGCAAAAGTTGAGCTCTACGGACTGAAGGCTTGCGTAGTGGCTCTCAGGTTTCGCGCACATTTGATGTATAGCAGTTCTTGACTGGCTTATGATCTACCATATCTACCCTGGAGGTTGCGAGCTGTGTGCGATATACGGCTGGCGGTTTGTATTTGGCCGTCAGTGCAAGGCTAGCTTGCTTTCAAGAGCCAGCAAGCGCATGCCCGAGGATCAACTGGAGACCTAAACCGCAGAAAGACTGTAGTCAGCACGCGCGATTCTGACTTGTGTGCTTCCACGATGTGCTTCTTCGATTTGCGCCAGCAATTGTCCGAAAGGCGCTCAGAGCTGGGTATGGGGGCGAGGCGTGAGGGACAGGTGCAAACGCACTGCGCGCGAGCCGCAACGACATGCCGACAAGAACTTCAGATTGGCGGCCGGAATCCGTGTGGCAAAGATCGAACGAATTTTCAACCATTCCCACGCAATCCGCGCAGGTAATAAAACGAACATGTTAGGACGCTGCAAGCCCTTGCCTTGGCCCCCATGCCTAAATGCCGCTCTGCGGAAAAATGTTTAAGCCAAGCCACGCATCTCTACAAGCCTCTGCTGTGCGACAAGGGCGGGCAAGTCTCTGCTAAAGGCTGCGAAGGTGCCAGGATGCCTCTCTGAGGCAAATGAGGCAAGGAACATGCGCCAGTTTGCAAAAGGCACCTCTCTACGAGCGTTCCAAGTTCGAGGCATGGGCGTTTGTCTTGGCCCTGCAGCTAGTGCGCCGCGTCACTGTGCAGTTGTCCACTTGGCAACGGTCAAGAAGCTGCAGCTCTTGAATCGCCATGGCATCGGGCAAACAACCTGCCACTGGCTTAGAATGTGTCTTCTTGCTTTGCAAAGGTCTAGCGAGCAGCTGTCGACAAACGGAGAAAAAGGAAGCAGTTGTCCACTTTGCAACGGTCAAGAAGCTGCAGCTATTGAATCGCCATGCCATCGGGCAGACAACCTGCCACTGGCTTAGAATGTGTCTTCTTGATTTGGCACAACCTGCGTGAGCCTTGCTACGTGGGTCCCAATGGAAGATGCATGGGCGGGCCCGGTTTACACCAGCGATGCAGGTCCGCGCGCCCACTCAGTCGCCAGGCTCAGCCAGTTGTTGCTTCGCGCATTGCTATGCAAAGGTTTGGCGAGCAGCTGTCGACAAACAGAGAAAAAGGAAGCAGTTGTCCACTTTGCAACGGTCAAGAAGCTGCAGCTCTTGAATCGCCATGGCATGCCATGGCATCGGGCAGACAACCTGCCACTGGAATAGATTGTGTCTTCTTAATTTGGCACAACCTGCGTCAGTCTTGCTACGTGGATCCCAATGGAAGATGCATGGGCGGGCCCGGTTTACACCCAGCTGTGCGCAGCGATGCAGGTCCGCGCGCCCACTCAGTCGCCAGGATCAGCCAGTTCTTGCTTCGCGCATTGCTTTGCAAAGGTCTGGCGAGCAGCTGTCGACAAACGGAGAATAAGGAAGCTGCGCACCTTCATCATGTTGTTCCCGGGGCCAAGTGCGTGCTTTGGGCCAGGTTTGCACGTTGGTGGCATTGTACTTTGCGGGCCTTGGCTTTTGGCTTGAGGCACAGGGTTTCTGGCCCCCCAATCAGCTCTCAGTCTGAGTCTAGCTTGATCCTGGACGCTGCATTTGCCTTGGCCCCCATGATGCCTAAATGCCGCTCTGCGGAAAAATGTTTAAGCTAAGCCACGCATCTCTACAAGCCTCTGCTGTGCGACAAGGGCGGGCAAGTCTCTGCTAAAGGCTGCGAAATGCTGCGAAGGTGCCAGGGTGCCTCTCTGAGGCAACCGAGGCAAGGAACATGCATCAGTTTGCAAAAGGCACCCCTCTACGAGCGTTCCAAGTTCGAGGCATGGGCGTTTGTCTTGGCCCCGCAGCTGGTGCGCTGCGTCACTGTGCAGTTGTCCACTTGGCAACGGTCAAGAAGCTGCAGCTCTTGAATCGCCATGGCATCGGGCAAACAACCTGCCACTGGCTTAGAATGTGTCTTCTTGCTTTGCAAAGGTCTAGCGAGCAGCTGTCGACAAACGGAGAAAAGGAAGCTGCACACCTTCATCATGTTGTTCCCGGGATCCATTGCGTGCTTTGGGCCAGGTTTGCACATTGGTGGCATTGCACTTTGTGTGCCTTTGGTTGAGGAACAGGGCCTGGTCATGGATTAGTATGGTTTAGTTGGCGGGGTTGACGCTCTGGCGAGCCGATACTCAAGGGTCAGGCCTACTTGCTAGCAATTCTATGTTCAGCATCACCCCGGGAGGAGTACAGCTGGGTTAGAAGGCATGGAAGTTGTGCAACTGCAAAGAACAAATGGCACCAGTACGTCAGCCGCCGCCATGCACCTCCACACACATCCACGCTTGGACGCATAAGCCCTGAGGGAAAACAAGGCGAGGCTGTCCCCAGCAATCTGGACTCCCGGCGGAAACATTGCTTCCGGCCGGCTTGGTGTTCTTGTTGCGTGACACACATCCTCGCCGATCCTTGCAGTTCCTTTGGCACGGCTCCTGCGCGCAAACCGCAGCCAAATCAGGAGCTGCCTAAGATGGTTTCGAACAAACCTTGCGCCCGGGGCAACCACATGCGCAGTTGGCGTGATCCTGGCAGCCCCTCATTGGAAGGCCGCCAGGCCTCAGCCACGCTGACTGTTGAGGCAGCAGATCTGCCTTGTCATTGGCTGTGGGCAGGTCTCTGGCTGATTGCCCCAGGCACTTAGGCACCTGCCGGAAGAATCACACCGACCCGCGAGCTTGGGCTGTCTTGAAAAAACGCGCGAAGGTTCTGCGGACTCGCGCGCTATACTACGGGGAATCCGCGGACTCTTGCTGCCAGGCGCTTCCGCAGCCCTGCGGAAGCGCCTGGCCAGCTGTGCCCCTGCGCGCGCATGCGCTCTGAAACTGCAAATATGATTCTGCGCTCATCCACTTGGTGAACCATTCATTGGGCAAGTCGTCCACCCCACAGCGCTCTTTTTGACTTTACATGTGGAAATTGTGAGGTACTTCTGCACAGGCAACGAGATTTGGCTGCCATGAGACCAGTGACAGTCTGGCAGTCTTTGCCCGGATGGTTCGTGCAACGACGCCTGCTTGATCTCGTGGGGACTCATGCCATTTGCGCAGCAAGCACATCCAACGAGGATGGTCGTAAGACTGAGCGAGCGAGCAAGAAGTTCCCCCACCAGGATCAGTTCGAATACGGTTGCGCACGAAAATCCTCTCCGATTCCGATCACATGCCATCTGAAACACGCGATCTTAGCAACCAGGTGTCTCTAGTTCTGGAGCCAAAGGCCACGAACATCAACAGCGCCAACTGGCTTCTCAATTCTACAGCATTTGCCCATGCTTCAACTCACTTGCTGGGCATTCCGGAGCAGGCACCTGCCTGCCGAGACATGCCTCGCTGCGCCTTCCGTCGCGGAAGCTTCCGCCGCGAGCGTTGAGCTGCAAGCTTTGCAAGCAAAAGCATCACACAGGTGCAAGGTCCCAGCAAGCCACAGCAAAACGAGTGTTGGGGCCCTGATTCCAAAAAGGAAATACTGCTCCGAGTTGCTGCAAATAGCTTGCAAGAGGTGTCTGGCAATGTGCTAGGGGAAATCATAGGTTACAGCTTTACAGGTTTCACCTCGCTCGGCTCGAATCGGATGGATGTGTGGGCTGAAGGCAAATGCCTAATCAGCCCATTTTGCAGGAATGCTGGGACTGCCTGTTGCGACTTGTTGTGTTTCAAACGAGTTCCATCTGACTGCTGTTCCATCTGACTGCTGTTACAAGAGACGCATCTGCTGAAAGAAGGCGCGTCCTTTGCGGCTTCCCAAACTGCAGGTCTCCCTCCTTGCGCGCCAAGCAAGCCGCTTGCGCAAAGCAGCTGCGCATGTAACCTCTCCGACTGGCTATGAGAAAGACGGAAATATCATTAGCGAGCTCGGACACATGTTTTGCTTTTGCGTGCACACCAGGAAGTTGAAAAGGTGGCGCGCGGACTGTCACCGAGTGAATCGAGACGACGCGCCCACTCAGTCGCCAGGATCAGCCAGTTCTTGCTTCGTGCATTGCTTTGCAAAGGTCTGGCGAGCAGCTGTGGACAAACGGAGACTAATAAAGCTGCACACCTTCATCATGTTGTTCCCACGGCCCAGTGCATGCTTGGGGCCAGGTTTGCACGTTGGTGGCATTGCACTTTGCGGGCCTTGGATTTTGGCTTGAGGCACAGGGATTCTGGCCCCCCAATCAGCTCTCAGTCTGAGTCTAGCTTGATCCTGGACGCTGCAATTGCCTTGGCCCCCATGATGCCTAAATGCCGCTGTGCGGAAAAATGTTTAAGCTACAAGCCTCTGCTGTGCGACAAGGGCAGGCAAGTCTCTGCTAAAGGCTGCGAAATGCTGCGAAGGTGCCAGGATGCCTCTCTGAGGCAACCGAGGCAAGGAACACGCGCCAGTTTGAAAAAGGCACCCCTCTACGAGCGTTCCAAGTTCGAGGCATGGGCGTTTGTCTTGGCCCTGCAGCTAGTGCACTGCGTCACTGTGCAGTTGTCCACTTGGCAACGGTCAAGAAGCTGCAGCTCTTGAATCGCCATGGCATCGGGCAGACAACCTGCCACTGGCTTAGAATGTGTCTTCTTGATTTGGCACAACCTGCGTCAGCCTTGCGACGTGGATCCCAATGGAAGATGCATGGGCGGGCCCGGTTTACACCCAGCTGTGCGCAGCGATGCAGGTCCGCGCGCCCACTCAGTCGCCAGGCTCAGCCAGTTCTTGCTTCGCGCATTGCTTTGCAAAGGTCTGGCGAGCAGCTGTCGACAAACGGAGAAAACGGAAGCAGTTGTCCACTTGGCAACGGTCAAGAAGCTGCAGCTCTTGAATCGCCATGGCATCGGGCAGACAACCTGCCACTGGCTTAGAATGTGTCTTCTTGACTTGGCACAACCTGCGTGAGTCTTGCTACGTGGATCCCAATGGAAGATGCATGGGCGGGCCCGGTTTACACCCAGCTGTGCGCTGCGATGCGGGTCCACGCGCCCACTCAGCCGCCAGGATCAGCCAGTTCTTGATTCGTGCATTGCTTTGCAAAGGTCTGGCGAGCAGCTGTGGACAAACGGAGAATAATAAAGCTGCACACCTTCATCATGTTGTTCCCACGGCCCAGTGCATGCTTTGGGCCAGGTTTGCACGTTGGTGGCATTGCACTTTGCGGGCCTTGGCTTTTGGCTTGAGGCACAGGGATTCTGGCCCCCCAATCAGCTCTCAGTCTGAGTTTAGATTGATCCTGGACGCTGCAATTGCCTTGGCCCCCATGATGCCTAAATGCCGCTGTGCGGAAAAATGTTTAAGCTAAGCCACGCATCTCTACAAGCCTCTGCTGTGCGACAAGGGCGGGCAAGTCTCTGCTAAAGGCTGCGAAATGCTGCGAAGGTGCCAGGATGCCTCTCTGAGGCAACCGAGGCAAGGAACATGCACCAGTTTGCAAAAGGCACCTCTCTACGAGCGTTCCAAGTTCGAGGCATGGGCGTTTGTCTTGGCCCTGCAGCTAGTGCGCCGCGTCACTGTGCAGTTGTCCACTTGGCAACGGTCAAGAAGCTGCAGCTCTTGAATCGCCATGGCATCGGGCAGACAACTTGCCACTGGAAAAGAATGCGTCTTCTTGATTTGGCACAACCTGCGTGAGCCTTGCTACGTGGATCCCAATGGAAGATGCATGGGCGGGCCCGGTTTACACCCAGCTGTGCGCAGCGATGCAGGTCCGCGCGCCCACTCAGTCGCCAGGCTCAGCCAGTTGTTGCTTCGCGCATTGCTTTGCAAAGGTCTGGCGAGCAGCTGGCGACAAACAGAGAAAAAGGAAGCAGTTGTCCACTTTGGAACGGTCAAGAAGCTGCAGCTCTTGAATCGCCATGGCATGCCATGGCATCGGGCAGACAACCTGCCACTGGCTTAGAATGTGTCTTCTTGATTTGGCACAACCTGCGTGAGTCTTGCTACGTGGATCCCAATGGAAGATGCATGGGCGGGCCCGGTTTACACCCAGCTGTGCGCAGCGATGCAGGTCCGCGCGCCCACTCAGTCGCCAGGATCAGCCAGTTCTTGCTTCGTGCATTGCTTTGCAAAGGTCTGGCGAGCAGCTGTGGACAAACGGAGAATAAGGAAGCTGCACGCCTTCATCATGTTGTTCCCACGGCCCAGTGCATTCTTTGGGCCAGGTTTTGCACGTTGGTGGCATTGCACTTTGCGGGCCTTGGCTTTTGGCTTGAGCACAGGGATTCTGGCCCCCCAATCAGCTCTCAGTCTGAGTCTAGCTTGATCCTGGACGCTGCAAGTGCCTTGGCCCCCATGATGCCTAAATGCCGCTGCGCGGAAAAATGTTTAAGCTAAGCCACGCATCTCTACAAGCCTCTGCTGTGCGACAAGGGCGGGCAAGTCTCTGCTAAAGGTTGCGAAGGTGCCAGGATGCCTCTCTGAGGCAACCGAGGCAAGGAACATGCACCAGTTTGCAAAAGGCACCTCTCTACGAGCGTTCCAAGTTCGAGGCATGGGCGTTTGTCTTGGCCCTGCAGCTAGTGCGCCGCGTCACTGTGCAGTTGTCCACTTGGCAACGGTCAAGAAGCTGCAGCTCTTGAATCGCCATGGCATCGGGCAGACAACCTGCCACTGGAAAAGAATGCGTCTTCTTGATTTGGCACAACCTGCGTGAGCCTTGCTACGTGGATCCCAATGGAAGATGCATGGGCGGGCCCGGTTTACACCCAGCTGTGCGCAGCGATGCAGGTCCGCGCGCCCACGCAGTCGCAGGCTCAGCCAGTTCTTGCTTCGCGCATTGCTTTGCAAAGGTCTAGCGAGCAGCAGTCGACAAACGGAGAAAAGGAAGCTGCACACCTTCATCATGTTGTTCCCGGGGTCCATTGCGTGCTTTGGGCCAGGTTTGCACATTGGTGGCGTTGCACTTTGTGTGCCTTTGGTTGAGGAACAGGGCCTGGTCATGGATTAGTATGGTTTAGTTGGCGGGGTTGACGCTATGGCGAGCCGACACTCAAGGGTCAGGCCTACTTGCTAGCAATTCTATGTTCAGCATCACCCCGGGAGGAGTACAGCTGGGTCAGAAGGCATGGAAGCTGTGCAACTGCGAAGAACAAATGGCACCAGTACGTCAGCCGCCGCCATGCACCT